ATACCGCTGTGTGTTATGAGTAATAGGCCTTTACGACTGAAAGTAATCTGTCTAATAGAAAACCCAACAGGGGCCTCAAATTTCGAATGGTGTTTAGTCAGGTCTGAACAATCGATTTTTTTACTATTCGTTTTCTCAAATTAATGAGTCTTTGATGACGCTCGTATAAAGTAGACAAAAGCGGATAAAATAATTCACAATCGGCTTTGTTAAAGGTGCGTTTGACTCACTCACCACTTAACCCTATGTCGAGAAAAAGCCGATCGGTACCGCACAAACGGGAAGTTTCTTTTTCAACAAAGGGTCGGTCACAGAATGAACTTCGAGTTTGGGTAAAGAGAAGCTCATTGACACAATAACGGTCATATGGTGAGACTGATAGACAGAACCAAACAAAACCACCTACGCCCTCTATCACTCGCATAGACTATACAGTCTGACATCTTCAAATCTTGTTTGTTTGAAGCACATCGACAAAATGATGGTCATTTATTGCTGTGAAAAAGTAAGACAGACAGAAACAACAGAGGAAAAGTACAGAAGTAGGACCTACCAGTGATGCCCTCAGTGGCGCCCCCCAAACACCCGCCTTCAAACCTCGACCCCTGTTGTTATATTAAGATTATATCAAGTATAACAAGCACAATCGAGCCTCTCCAAGGCTACCGCCCATTGTTAATGAGTAAAATAGTCATCTCAGAGAAGTGGTATTCTTAGACAATGTCTTTATAACATTTTTATTTTTGTTTGATTTTTCTTTGTTTTATGTTAGGTTGTTTTTGTTTTGTTTTGTTTTTTGGTTGTTTGTTTGTTTGTTTGTTTGTTGTTGTTGGGGTTTGTTGGTTTTTTTTGGGGGGGGGAGGGGGGCAACAGAAGTATTCTTTCTGAATTCTTCTGTGGAAGGCCAAAAACACAACAAGGTGTGGTTGAACAGAATTCCAAAACTTAATTTTAAAAATAAAGCTTACTGAAAGAACTTTAGAATAGAAGGAACTTTAATATGTTAGTAATTCTGTCTGTTGAGGATTTATTAACATCATTAATTTTCCAATCAACGCGACGGACAATTCAATAAGATGGTCTGGAACTTATCGCTTCTTCTCCTCCTTTTTAGGTGCAGTCTCTCTGTCAGCCTCAGAATAACAGGGACTTTTCCATCGATTATTAACGCTCATTAGTTTGAGTTCGTAGTCTTGATATAATTTATTTTCCGTTCTGGTTTTTTAAAATCATTTCTGCCAAGCAACAAGTGATCGAAAAATATAACATTCAAGCATGGAGTGTACACCGTGGGTAGTTGGAAGGTGTCACTGGTAGGTCCTACTTCTTTACTTTCCCTCTGTTATTTCTGTCTGTCTGTCCTACTTCCTCCCAGCACTAAATGACCATTATTGTGACGATGTGCTTCTCCCTATTCAAACAAACAAACAAACAAACAAATAAATGAACAAGCAAAGGTACACGGTTCTCTCTGAATATGTGGGTGGTTGGCGGGTGCTCTGGTGTGGTTCTCCTTCTTTCCTATCAAATATCTATCGTCCTTATCTCCCCTTCTTCTTTTTTATGTTTGTTACCTTCTTTTAACACCTAAATGACCTTATGCCGTTGCGAGCGCAGTAAAACCCCTACTAAAACTAATTAACTAAACTCTCTGAATACCAGTGGCACATATGCATATGGTTGCCTCGTGATTCACGCTCTCGTCCAATTACGTTTTTGTCTGTCAGTCTGTCTGTCAGTCTGTCTGTCAGTCCATCTGTCTATCTCTTCACCTGAACAGTTTAACTTGGATTTTGTAAGCGTTTCATGGAGCCTGCAACACAAATAAATCTTGTTATACGTTCCAAAGGTGTTTCTATGGAAATCTATACAAATAAAATAAGGAGGAGGGAAAATACGAAGATACAATGTTTGATAGGAAAGAAAGAGCAAACCACATCAGAGCATCCGCCACCCATCCGCACGTCTGACCATCGATTTGTTTGTTACACGTTTGAAACAGTGATGGCGCTAGTTTATCACACGTATTTGAACTCGCTGTTTTGGTCGTGGCGCAAATTGTCGGTAGCACAACGACCACCATAACAGGAGCTTGAACAGAGCAAATTTCAAAAGAGAATAAGTCGTAGCTTTCCTAGAAACATCAACCGCAGCAGCAGCAGCAACACGACAGTGATACCAACAACAAAAACAACAACAACAACAGCAACAGCCAGGACAGTAACAGCAACAGGAACAACAGAAACAATTTCAACAGCAAATACAACAGCAGTAGCAACAACAACAAGAGCAATAACAACAACAATAACAACAACAACGACAGCAATTAGAAAAGACGACAGCAATAAGAAAAGACAGAAATGTTCGTTCGTTTTGACTCCCTCTATTGGGAAATCTCTCCGTAGAGTAAACACTTTAAAGTTTAACCTCGCACCCGTTTTCCCCTTCTCAGAACACACATACAAACGCACACACACACACGCACACACACACACACACA